CCCTTTAGCCTCCAGCTCTCCTAGTATACTTTCAGCTCTACTTGCCAGCCCACATCTAGCAAAAACTGAAATCATGGCATTATATGTCCACAGATCAGGTTGACAATTATTAGCCTCCATATCAGCATATACCTTTATCGCCTCCTGCAGATTAGACTCACGAGAACAAGCACTAATAAGTGTGTTATAAGTTATAGTATCTGGTCTTATACCCGATTTTCTCACTTCTTTTAAAAGGTCCATCTCCAAATTCGGCCCTAGGGGACCTGATCTCAAACACGCATTTATCAAGGTATTATAGCTCACAAGATCTGGCTCACAACCACGCTCTCTCATCAAATTCAGCATTTCTTGAACCTTCGAAAACCTAGCATTCCTCGCATAAACCCCCATCATCGCGTTGTAAACCTGAACAGTATTACCAGCAGAAGGCTCCGCCCTTGCAAAAATCTCCACAGCCAACCCTTCCTGATTCGCCTTTCCAAGCACTGCCAATATCGTGGCCAGCATCCGGGCATTAGGCGAGTACCAATGCCTAAGATTCAACCATTCATAAACCTCCAAAGCTCGCTGCCAACTCGACTGACCCACCCACTTGACCACAAAACAATAATCAGTAGGAGTCATCTGCACCATTTTCTTATCCAACACATCAGCCACAAATTCATCATGCCCCAACCCTAATATCTTATCAGTCAAAAATTGAACCCTCTTCCTCTAATCTTTAGCCCTTTTAAGCGCCAATTTAGTCATCTTCTTAACCTTAGTCTTACTAGTCCTACCCAAAACCTCTAAATTCTCATCATTTACAACACCCCCAACATCATCCATCCCACCCCCATCATCTTCATCCCCAAATTCTTCACTTTCCTCCGAATCATTCGCCGGTTTCGCCAAATGGGTCGGTAAATTATGGGTTAAATTGAAATGGGTTTGCGTAGATTGTTGAATTTCAGCGATTTTCAAATGGGCCCATCTCACAGAAGGAGATGCTCTACTATAGCTAAATTTTTTAGGGTTTGTTGATTCTTCAACAGTAGTTTCTTCAATTGATGTAGAAGAAGATGAAGAAGCTAATGTGCAATAAGAAGGGATGCATCTGCGTACCTTGGATTGTGAATCAATGTGTAATGGTGAAGCTGATACTGCAAAAGTTCCGGAATTTGTAATCGCCATTAGAGAGAAATTAGAGGTTTTTTGGAGAAGGGTTTAAGGGGGTTTAGTGGATAAAATTGGAGCTAAAAGCTCAGCATGTTGGCGGGATATTCATCGTTCAGTTGTCTGCCAGAGTGTATATTCCAAAAATAAAAGATCTTTGCTGAAAACGGAGGGGGTGATGGAGGAAAAAAACAGCACCCGGAATGACACGCGTATAATTTCTAGTGTCTGTTTAAATATTATGTTATTGATTGATTTAGACATTTTCAATGGTAAGACTCAACATTAAATATTGAAATGCAAAATTAGTTGTTTCACACTATGGTGTTATAACCCAACTCACTTCTCAATTTAGCAACTCATGTAAAATATAATTTCTCAATAATGAGACTTTTTTAAATATACTAATGTCACTTTCCATTATAACCAATATATTCTAATTATTTATTTATTTATTTATTTTTGTTAGAGATTGTTGTGACTAGAAATTAATTAAATAAATAAAAATTATAATAAAATCGATAAGGGCCTATATATTTGTCAACTGAGACTTAAAGTTGAGTATCTAAACTTAACAACTTTCTTTATAAGTATCTAAGTTTAGATATAAACCTATTGACATTCTGTACAAAAAATACTCCTTCCCCTTCTAAAAAAACTCTAATGAGTCTCACCATTGGAGATGGTTTAATACTGATTCAAATCTGATCAGTTTTATTTTGAATCCAGTATGAGTTCAACTGAATCCATACAGGATCCGCCACTGACAATATTAATATAACTTGACGACCTTTGCACTATTGATCTATGGATTGTTAACTTTAAGTGCATATTTATACTAATAAATAAATTTAAAATAAAATAAAATAAAAAAAACATCAAATGTTTTCATGTAAAATACTTGTACAAATACGTTTCTTATAGTCTCATTCATGATCTTATTGTCCATGACATACTCCCTCCGTATTTTAATTAAGTGTTACACTTTCTTTTTTAGCAAAAACTGCATTTTAATATTATATTGCCCTCTTCTCAAGGTCCTTACCCAAACCCACTAGTTATTTTTTTATTATTATTTATTTCCTCTCACATTCATTACTTTTCAATAATTTACTAACCTCACTATCTTTCTTTTACAATTTTTTAATACTCCAACTACCCCATTTACCTCTTATTTTATTTAAGTCAATTAAATTGGCTAAAACTATGTGTAAATGTGTAACACTTATTAAAACATGGAGGACATGCATCGATGATCGATGATGACTGTAGTTTTCTGAAAGAAAAGAGTTGTCAATGAATTACACAATAATGTTAGTAGTAGATTATTGTTCAGTAAAATTGGCTTGACTAACTATCTTCTATATGAATAATACAATGTCATTCCTCAAAAAAGGCACCGTAAATATGCTAGCATGGCAAAATCTGATTGACCGTATTTAGTATTTTGATTTTCATTTTGAATTATTTTTAATGTCCATAATATATTGAAATTGTTTTTATATTATGTATTCTTTTTAATAAATGTATTTTTTTAGAAATACATAATTATAAATTATGAAAATCTATTTTTATAATATTAATTAATTTTGGAAATTATACTTATAACTAAAAATCACAAATTTAATATTATTCATCATTGTTCATCAATTCAATGTTCTTCATTCATGTCATAGATTAGCCACCCATTCCCAAAATCATTGTTAATTGTTAATGTATTCTCAAATCCGGCCTTATATTCCAATAAAAATTAGTAAATAAATTGTGTTTTTGTTCATTATTTCGTATGTTATTCACCCTAGCTTAGGGTTCGAATATATGATGTGGGATTCATTTTTTTTTTTATGTTTTGTTGTTAGTTGTGATTTCGAAACAACGTTGGTAACGTATATTATGGTGACCTAAAATTCAAATTGTTCAATTTTGTCAACGAATAAGGGGTATTAAGGTTGAAGAAGATGTAGAGATCGCAGTTATTTTTTGTTCGTAATCCCTGTTTGATCCGAAAACGAGATGTGCGATTTTTTTAATATGTTTGTATTGAAGGCATTTACCTATGTTTACTTTGGTCATTACCTTACATTTTTTAGGTAATGACCAAATTAAATATAGGTAAATACCATAACCACAAACAGAGTACAAAAATCTCACATCTCTATTCCGGATCAAACAGGATTTGCGAAGAAAAAAAAAATTGCAACCTCGATCTATATCTTTTACAACCTCATTACCACCCATTGATCATTAAAAAAATTTGAAAGATATGTGTTTTAAATCATCATAAGACACGCTACCAATGCTATTTCCGTCCTGAAAACTAACAAACAACTTGATTTTTACATAAATTAAAATTATCGAACCCTAAGGACGAAAATTGTATACGAATTATGGAAGCAGATTCGAAAACGCAATAAAAATCCGATCTTTGGACGACTTGCTGGTCGGAATTTCGGTTTGAGCTCCAACTAGATTATACAAGATTTGCATATGTCCCCGCCTAGGAAGACTTCTTCTACCGTTCTTCTGGGGGTGGTTAATTAAGATCATAAATGAAGAACGATGATGAACAATGATGGATATTTGATTTTCTAAATTTTAATTATAATTTAATTTTCAAAAATGATTTTAAAAAATAAAATAGATTTTCAAACGAATTTTTCATGAAATACCACTGAGTTTTTTCAAAATTCACCATATATCACACAAAATTTTTTAATTCACCAAATACCATTGAATTACTATACGTTAACACAGAATGCCATTAATGGTAACTGTCGTTAGTCTGCCGTTTGGGGTAAATTACTAATTCACCATATACCATTATTTTACTTTTGTTTGCATGATATACCATTGTTTTTTTTTAAATATAGCTGTTGAACAGTTATAACGGTTAGTTTGTGTATATAAATGTAGTTCTTCACGTACCAAGGCACACCTCTAATAGCATTTGCAAAGATGTCCACAATCTCGAGATTATCATCGTCATCGTCTTCTTTCGGTTCTTCGTATGTAAGGGTTCCAAACAAAGCATGTTGTTGTGGTAGGAAGTTTGCAATAAGAAGCTCTAATTCGGCAAAAAATCCACAAAAGTTATACTATAAGTGTGATGTATGTGATACATTCAGATGGTGCAAGGGCAATATGGATCAAAATGTCCCGTGGGGTTATGAAAATCAAAGCAGGGAAGGGATAGACACGCATGGAAGTGAGATCGTGTTGAAGCAAGAGTTGAAAGAGTTGAAGAAAAGAGTAGCAAAACAGCAAAAGATAGTAAATGTAGCAATAAAAATAGGAGCAATTATGTTTATGGGTTTTGTATTTGTAGCCTTGAAATGAAAAATGTTAGACAAAAAATTTCATTGCTTAAATAAGTTGCACTTGAATTGCTAACATTGTTTGTCAAAAGAATATGCCTACATAATTTCAGTACTTGCATTACATAGCTTGGAATTGTGAGAAACAAAAGAAGTGCCAAAAAAACCAAGTAGTTAACATTTTGTTCACATACAACTTGACACTTAACACTAAAGATTCAAAAGTGTTCACCAAAAAATTACACATGAAGCCCAGCTTCAAGAATGCTAAGTACCAGCCTTTCTCTTCTTCCCCCTTGTGTTGACTTGCCTTGAAGTGGATGCTGCATTTTCTGCCTTTTTTGTTGCTGCCTTTCTTGCCTTACAGGTTACTGCATTGTGTCCCAGTTCTTTGCATAGGCTGCATTTGTTTTTCTTGTGCCTCTTTCCTTTTTTTGCTTCATGAGGGGCTCTTCTCCTTTGCTTAGCTGGTCTGCCTGCACTTCTTTTGCCTTCGGGTGGTGCAATTTCTGGCACATCAAGTGATGGCTAGTGAGTTGGATCAGCCATGGGGTGGATGTGGTCTTCATAAGTTAGTTTGTATGCAGCCCCCTTGTAGAAAGGTGACACAAAATCCCTGGGTTCAAGTCTCTGGTTGTAAATGACCCTGAGACCATGCTTGCATGGGATCCCTAATCCTTGCCATTTCCCACACCCACAGGTCATATTCCCAAGTGTGACAAGGAACTTGACATGGCCATCCCTCACCTCAAATTCTCCACCACCAGCTGCAGTCACATGGCAGAACCTAGACTCATCAGTCCTTGTCTCTAACACCCCTTTTGCATGCTCTGTCAGCTCATTAGGTTCCATATCAACTGCTTTATCGAACTTGGAACCCATCCTTTTCATGCACCAATTCCTAACAGCTGAATTATTCCCAAAAAAGAAAGACTCATCAATCCTTGTCTCTAACACCCCTTTTGCATGCTCTGTCAGCTCATTAGGTTCCATATCAACTGCTTTATCGAACTTGGAACCCATCCTTTTCATGCACCAATTCCTAACAGCTGAATTATTCCCAAAAAAGAAAGTAACAGAAAGCAACACTAAGTACACAGACATATCATCAGCTCATTGTGGTACAAACAAACCAATTTGTATGCATTGAAATGAACAAAATAGGCACAACAGTTTACCTTCCAGTAATGTCAACACAGGCATGTCTTTGTTGGACTTTGTTATTGCATTGAATGACTCTACAAAGTTTGTTATGTTATGATCACAACAAACTGTCCTGTCAAACATGTGCACACTCCATTGCTCTTCCACATTTGTCAGATAATCAAATGTTGCTGCATCATACTCTTTTATCTTAGACATTGCTTTTCCAAACACATATTCATTGTATGCATTTGCAGCAATCCAAAATAGCTTATGAAATGTTGTCCCACTCCATCCTGCAGTCTTGCAATTTGAGTACACATATTCTCTTGGTTGCTCTTGGGAACACCTCAAACAAAGCTGATTCAACCCCCTTAAAAAAACATGATTAAGTTAGTAAATAGCATCATCATCACAAATTAAATGCAAAGAAGAAACTTACCCTCATCCTGTCACTTATAAAAGTCCAGTCATCCTTCTGAGATCCATATTGAGCAAACAGGCACCTCAAGTTTCTGAAGAAATAAGTCCAGGAATCTATGCTCTCTGTGTCAACAATCCCATAGGCTAACACAAAAATCTCATTATTCCCATCAATTGAAACTGCAGTGAGCATCATCCCTTTATAATACCCACTTAGATGTGCACGATCTATTCCTATGATAGGTCTGCATCCACCTAAAAATCCTTTCACTTGAGCTGAAAAAGATATGAAACAGGACTTGAATTTGAAACTCTGATCCCCACTATCAGTCCATGTAACAAGAGCATATGACCCAGGATTTGTGGACTTTATCATTTCAGCATACTTTGGCAGAGCTGCATAGGGCTCAGCAAACCCACCATGTAATTGCTCCCTGCCTAAACTCTTCACTTTGTATAACAACCTCAACTTGACATGGATCCTGTACCTTTCCATGCACAGTCTCTGCAATGAATCAACTGGGACATCTAGGTTTGCCTCTAAGTCTTGTAACAAATGTCTGCATAGCCATGCTGAAGAGACCATAGGATTCTCTTCCAGCCTCCCACAAGTTGCATGCTCTCCTTCTAGCTTTTTTATGGCCCAACTGACTTTGTCTTTCAGAACTAATGCATGAATCCTCCAATTGCAATTTCTGATCAGACGCCTTGCTATGTACCTTTGATTGTTAGCATAGTCAACTTGAACAGAGAAGTCCTCTTGTATGCATTAATCTCTGAAAACCTCTAGAAAATGTGTTTTGGTTTCAAAAATCAACCACTCTTCAAGTTCAATGGACCCAAATGGTAAGTGAGACCAGATTTTACCATTTTTGTACATTTTGTCTAACACATGGGACCCATCTAAGTAATCCTCAAAGGTCTTCTCAGGTATATTATCAGGAACATCTTCTTCTCTCACAATGTACTCATCATCAATGTCCAACTCCATATCAAAATCAGCCTCAACATCAGAAACTTCATAATCATCATCTTCACTATCATCAGAAGGCCAAGCATCAGACTCAACATCACTTTCCTCAAGAGGCATAGATTTTTTTCTCCTAGTGTTGACTTGCCTCCCTGCTGCATTTTTTTTCCCAACATCAAGACCATACTTAATTGATGTGCTTCTAGGCACCCTCCACTCTTTGGGTTTAATTCTGGTTTGTTGTTTAGGCTGGGTTGGTTGCCTTGGTGCTCTTGCTATTGGTTGTGGTGGTGGTGGGGGAGGTGGTGTAGGCTGCCTGGGTTGGTGTGTTGGTGTTTGTGGTGGGGAAGGATGTTGTTGGGAAACATTTGGTGGTGGAGGTGTGGGCTGTCTTTGTTCAGTGGACTGTCTTTGTTGAGTGGACTGTGCAAGGGGGTTTTTTTTTTCTTCTTTGGAGTTAGTTTTTTTCTTCTTGTAGGGTTCTTTGGTTGAGATGTTTTTGTTTGTGAGGGTTGAGGTTGTGAATCCCCCGGAAAAACCTCATCAGCTACTTGGGTAGCAAACACCCTTACATAGTCAATCGCATCATCATCAGCATCCACAACAGGGACCTCTACAGCCACAGTATATGCCTGCTAGGCCAAAAGCTGCTCCTCAGCTTCTGCTTCCTCTGCTTTCCTTCTATTCTCTTCCTCCATTAGCCTAATTTTTTCAGCCCTTTTCTTCAAAGTTTTTGCCCAACTAGCTTTTGCAGACTGAAACAGAAGAGATGGTGTTTCTGTCTCTTCTATAAACACTTCTATTTCACTCTTCCCTTCATTCCACTCCCACATTTTTAACATTGCCCCATCATCAACTAACTCTAACTTACGATTTGTTCTAGGTTTACTCACAAACAGGGTGAAGTATTTAGGGAGAAATACATTATGCTTCACTGAATCCTCAAACATATACTCAAACAATTCCATCAAATTGGTCTTATCAGTGTCATCCACCCTCACATCAAAAGTACCACTTGGAGAACGAACTAACAGCCACAATTCACTCATCCTAACAACAACATTTACCAACACCACATTACATTACAATCCAAACAATAAATCACATACAACACAAAAAACTTCACTTTAACATCATTCAAATATGCATACAACAAATCAAACATAATTTCCATATAATTCAAATTCGAATTTCATAGCAACCACATTGACATATATGATCATTGTCCACGAAACCCTAACCCTAACTCAATTTCGCAAAACAACAACAAAATCAGAACTCGAAATGCAAATCGATAAGGATAGTAATACCTTGCATATGCTTAATCCAACCCAGGTGCGAACTTTATGCAAAATTCAGTCACGAACACCACGCTGTCTCTGAACACTCTTCAAATTGCTTCTTTGCTCAATCGTAAGTCCCAATTACCTTTCCTAGTTGCAATCCACTTTAGTCCATCGACAGTTTGCACTTTTTTAATTGATTTGTAGAGTTGAAGAGCAATGGAAACAAACAGAGAGTAGCTTCAATGGAAAAGAGGAATGGGGGTCAAATTTTTGAAGTTGAAACTTTGTGTTTGGGAGAGTCAACCCTAACAATGGCGCCAGTTTAGTGTATTAGGGCATATTAGTAATTTACCCCAAACGGCAGACTAACGGCAGTTACCATTAATAGCATTCTATGTTAACGTACAATAACTCAATGGTATTTGGTGTATTAAAAATTTTTGTGTGGTATATCGTGAATTTTGGAAAAACTCAGTGGTATTTCATGAAAAATCCGATTTTCAAATACTATAATTATGTATTCTGTAAAAAAAATCCATGTATTTACAATTATACTTACATTATAGTACATTTTGGCCTTTTAAAAATAAATTAGGAAAACTTGACCAACCATAATATGACACGTCAACATGTTATGGTGCCTTTTAATTTTGAGGAATGACATAGTATAATCATCCCTGTACGAAATATGTAAGGCTGTGATGGGGAAGACAGTGGATGCTTTTGCTTTAGCTTCAGAAGCCAAGTATTTCGATATCAAGCTAAGTTTTCACTTTCATGATTAAGCAGTTCATGAATTTTGATACACTTTATATACTTCTTCTGTTTCTTTTTAGTTGCATCACTTTCTATAAATGAAAGTTTCAAAAAAAATAATGTTTGAGACAAAGTTTCAATTTAGCTGTGTCATTTTCCCTTTCAGTTAATATATTCTCTCTATCTCTCCTATCATATGGCACTCTTTATTTTTTCTCTCTATCTCTCTCTATTCCAAAAATTGTTTATGATTCCGCAACTATAAAAGTGATGCAACTAAAAAACAGAGGAAGTAATAATATGTTTTTCTTATTATTTAATGTAATTTTTACTGATGATTACTTTCCTATTTCTTCTTCTGAATCAAGGAATCACACAAAATCGAAAGCTGCTCAGCAATAGTCTAATGTAAGGTGTTTGGGTATGTAAATTCAATCTGTCTTGCATGGATCCGGTCCACATAATATTAATGTGCACCGAAGTCCATCATGTGACTTTTTCCCAAGCAAAAAAAAAAGGAAAATAATTACGGTACAAAATCATGTAAGATCGATCTCATGGTTTGGCGTTATTTTTCACTCTCACTCTAAAATTGCTCTCAGTCAATTTTAGGGAAAATGTCTCTCTCATCTCAAACAACTTTGGGGATTTTTTCTCTCTCCTCTCAATAATTTTTTTGCAAAAAACATGTCAAATTCTGTATTACAAGATCAAATTGATCTAAATCAGTATATATATGAAGACAATGTACAATTACAATCACGGTTCAACTTTGATTTGAACGAATTTTATGCAACCGGAAGGAATTACGAAGGTAAAAACCAATATAGTTGTTAAATTCGTTCAAATTATACAAAATTTGTTGATTATTGTTATTGTTTGTAATGTAGAAAACTTAAATAATCATCCAATTGAATTTAGAATTCAACAAGAAAATGAAATTATAGAAGACGTTGAACAAGGTTTATTACAAGTAGAGGATGAAAATGGTGTGCTTTCAGATCAGGTTTAAGAGCAAAATCAACATATAATACAAGCTCAAGCAGAGATTTTTTATAATCAGTTTTTATTTGTTATAAACAATTTGTATTTAGCAAAATCAGTTTTGTATCGATATAATCAGTTTTTATCTAGTATAATCCGTTTTGATTGGGTATAGTCACCTCTAATATCGTGTTATCTTATTTAATTTTACTTTGTAAAATTACTTTTAAACTTATTTTTCTTTGATATAGTGAACAGTGCTTCACATACAACCATTGTTATTAGGATCGCAATCTGAATCGTAGGATCGTACATCCAATTTTTACCAAACGATCCGTATCGTCAGCAAAATCGCAATTAAGGTGGGATCGTAGTAGGATCGGGTAGGATCGTATAGGATCGATAGGATCGTACGATTCCATCGATCCTACCCGATCAACTAAATGGTGAGGAATTTCAGCCCAAGTATGGTAGGATCGCTGTAGGATCGGATACAATCACGTAAGATCGTGTAGGATCGTATGATCCTACTTGATCCTATGTGATCCTACTAAATTTTTGGATTAATTTAGTATTCTAAATATTTTTTGGGTTATATTGTCTTAAATATGGTTAATTATTTCAAAATTATTGGTTTTAGCATCAATTTTACCCCCGAATCATATATAATAAGTATTATTATTATCTTTTATCACCTCTTTTACGAGTTTTTGTAGAATCTTACGATCCTACGATCCGATTTTACCGATCTGATCCTACCACCCCATTCCGATCCAAAGAAGGATCCAGATCCTAACAACTATGCATACAACATAAACAGTTTGATATGATATAATCACTTTTTATTTCTTATAATCACATTTAGTTTGATATAATTACTTTACATTTTTTATAATCACAATTAGTTTGACATAATCAACTTTTATTTCTTATAATCACATTTAGTTTGATACGTAAATTGTAATCCTCTTCGTTTACTCGGATTTGATGAAATTCTACCTCTAGTTCTCACCGTCATTGTTGATTTTGGTGAACTTTCACCTCTTATCTTCGCCATAGTTGAAGCGTAGTACAGAGAACCTCAAAGGAGGAGAGAGAAAAAAAAAGAAAAAAGAGAGAGAAAATAATCAAAAGTAAAAGAGAGAAAGAGGCGTGTGATAAAAGTAAGCGGAAAAAATAGAGCTGTGCTAAAACTCATGTGATATTCACTCATTCTACATTAATATTAATGTGGACCGGGTGTATTATAGTCTTTTTATACTCTAAGTAAGTGATTGCTTAAAATAGCTAATAAGGAAATTAACATAATTTATTGTTGGTATATTTCTTTTTGATAGTACGAAGTAATATTGATTTACAAGGCAAATAGATTGTGCTATTAGTTTAATCGAGCTAGCGGCTATTTGCTAAGGGAGGCATGGCCGTGTTGAATGCGGCATGCCCATGTCCTATCGAGTGAAAAAGTTCCAGCAAGGCATGCCCATGCAAAGACAAGGCACGCCCATGCCTTTATGAGTGATGATCCTATGTTGTGTGCCATTGAAGGAGACAAGCCCATGTCAAAATTCGACACACCCATGTCTCGCTGAAAATTCAAGAAGTTTAGTTTCTTATCTTAGGCACGGACATGTCCTGTGTGACACGCCCATGCCTGGACGAAAATAGTCGGTTTTAATCCGATTTCTTTCCTTATTTTATTTCATTTTAAGCTTTATTATAAATACTGTTTAGCCTTATTATTTCAGGATTCATTATATTAGAACCCTAGTTTTCTCTCTAGACTTTTTTTTCATTGTAATTGAAGATTATACACTCAAGATTCTTCATTTTACTCTTTCAAGATTCGGTATTTTCTTATACTCTTTAATTCCTTTCATTGCTAATTATATTTTCCTTAATTCTTGTTATTATTTTTATCATCACGAGTGAGTAGCTTCCTTATTCTAAGGTCTTGTGGAACCCGAATATGATTGATGCAATTGACGTGCTTAATTGATTGTGCTTATGTCAATATTAGATTAGAAATAATTGGTATTGTTATTAGTCCATTGTTTTTATCACAACGAGAGTTGGGTTTTAACGGGTTTGAATAAA